TACATACATATATACATATACTGTATATATTAGGGGTGCAACGATACACAAAATTCACGGTTCGGTTCGGTTCGGTTCGATACTTTGGTGTCACGGTTCAATATTTTTTTGATACAAAAAAATGTTCATGCCTTTTTAATTTGTCATTTATTAAAATTGTAAATATATATATACATATTAATTCAAAAGTACAGTTTTTAAATTTAATGTTGCTGAAACAACAAAGGGATAAAATAATAAATCTATCTGATCGAGAAATCACTCATCTTTGGAAAATAGAGTCTATTACAGAGAAATGGCTCTTTGCAAAATAAAAGCTATACTATACGCTTCTTCTGGGGTATACTCTCAGCAGCATATTAAACATATCAGGTCCCCATAAGGAGAATCATAAGCTAACGGCTGTCTAAATGACTCGGGTAAAGCTTGTTTCATGCGTGCTTGTTGTTTTTGTCTGCTTCCACTTGTCTTTGCACTAGGATGATGTCGGCGTTAATGTGCAATCATATTCGTAGTGTTCCCACTAGTGCTGTCAGCGTTAATCTCGTTAAAATGACATTAACGCCATAACGCCGCAAATCTCCGTTAACGAGTTACTGCGGATTGCCCCGCGTGTGGGGCTGGACGGCGTCAACACGTTAACGAGCTAACTGCGCTAACGCACTAGTTCCCACAAATGTAATTGAGTATTATGTGGCACATCCGACATACTGTTTTACTTTTGTCCATGACGCGCTTACCATCAGGGTCATGCTTCACATGAAAACCAAAATAGTTCCAAACACCAGATCTGAATGAGGGTGGGGGAGGTTCAATTTTGGGTAGCGTTGAGGCAGTTGCCATGTTGCAATGAGCTAAACTTCTGTCTCGCTAGCTTGTGCTGCACTCAGTGGATCTGCGCTCAACGGTGCAGCCTAGGCGGAGAAGTCGAACGCAGATCCACTGAGCTCTCAACACAGACAGCATCTTCAGAAGAAAAGTTAATAAAATAAAATAAAAATTTTGTATTGTTCGATATATGCGTACATATGGGTACCGAACCGAAAGCACTGTATCGAATACCAATACGAGTATTGTTGCACCCCTAATATATATATATCCTCTACAGGGAGTGCAGAATTATTAGGCAAATGAGTATTTTGTCCACATCATCCTCTTCATGCATGTTGTCTTACTCCAAGCTGTATAGGCTCGAAAGCCTACTACCAATTAAGCATATTAGGTGATGTGCATCTCTGTAATGAGAAGGGGTGTGGTCTAATGACATCAACACTCTATATCAGGTGTGCATAATTATTAGGCAACGTCCTTTCCTTTGGCAAAATGGGTCAAAAGAAGGACTTGACAGGCTCAGAAAAATCAAAAATAGTGTGATATCTTGCAGAGGGATGCAGTAGTCTCAAAATTGCAAAGCTTCTGAAGCATGATCATCGAACAATCAAGCGTTTCATTCAAAATAGTCAACAGGGTCGCAAGAAGCGTGTGGAAAAACCAAGGCGCAAAATAACTGCCCATGAACTGAGAAAAGTCAAGCGTGCAGCTGCCAAGATGCCACTTGCCACCAGTTTGGCCATATTTCAGAGCTGCAACATCACTGGAGTGCCCAAAAGCACAAGGTGTGCAATACTCAGAGACATGGCCAAGGTAAGAAAGGCTGAAAGACGACCACCACTGAACAAGACACACAAGCTGAAACGTCAAGACTGGGCCAAGAAATATCTCAAGACTGATTTTTCTAAGGTTTTATGGACTGATGAAATGACAGTGAGTCTTGATGGGCCAGATGGATGGGCCCGTGGCTGGATTGGTAAAGGGCAGAGAGCTCCAGTCCGACTCAGACGCCAGCAAGGTGGAGGTGGAGCACTGGTTTGGGCTGGTATCATCAAAGATGAGCTTGTGGGGCCTTTTCGGGTTGAGGATGGAGTCAAGCTCAACTCCCAGTCCTACTGCCAGTTTCTGGAAGACACCTTTATCAAGCAGTGGTACAGGAAGAAGTCTGCATCCTTCAAGAAAAACATGATTTTCATGCAGAACAATGCTCCATCACACGCGTCCAAGTACTCCACAGCGTGGCTGGCAAGAAAGGGTATAAAAGAAGAAAAACTAATGACATGGCCACCTTGTTCACCTGATCTGAACCCCATTGAGAACCTGTGGTCCATCATCAAATGTGAGATTTACAAGGAGGGAAAACAGTACACCTCTCTGAACAGTGTCTGGGAGGCTGTGGATGCTGCTGCACGCAATGTTGATGGTGAACAGATCAAAACACTGACAGTGGATGGCAGGCTTTTGAGTGTCCTTGCAAAGAAAGGTGGCTATATTGGTCGCTGATTTGTTTTTGTTTTGTTTTTGAATGTCAGAAATGTATATTTGTGAATGTGGAGATGTTATATTGGTTTCACTGGTAAAAATAAATAATTGAAACGGGTATATATTTGTTTTTTGTTAAGTTGCCTAATAATTATGCACAGTAATAGTCACCTGCACACACAGATATCCCCCTAAAATAGCTAAAACTAAAAACAAACTAAAAACTACTTCCAAAAACATTCAGCTTTGATATTAACGAGTTTTTCGGGTTCATTGAGAACATGGTTGTTGTTCAATAATAAAATCATTCCTCAAAAATACAACTTGCCTAATAATTCTGCACTCCCTGTATATATATATGATTAAATTGCTGCTTATATTGCACCTTACAGAATATATAACTTTTATACAACTGTACATATCTCTGTAACTTTAAAATAAAAGATAAAAGCAATTTTAATGTAAAAATCTACATACTGCCAATGGAGAGATGCCAAACTGTCTTTCATTGTACTTGTAGTTGCCCATGCTAGCAATAACAGATTCCTGTGACTGCACAGGTTTGCTGACACAGCTGTTAATGGTGCAGCAGCTGCTGTAGCCACGATAGCATGTTGGTTAATTTGACACCTTTTGATGCATTTATTTCTATTTTTTTCTCTTTGTTTCTTAGCTTTTCAGCTCCACTTTTTCGCTTTTTTTTTTATCCATCTTTACTCTCTACTCCTACCACACTAAACTGTGTTCAGCATAGTGCATGAATGCACATGGAAGGGACTGGTTGCATTAGGATATTTGATTGGGTATTGCATTTGCTCATGAAAATAATGCACAGCAGCCCTTAATGACAGCTGTAGCCTGTATAATTACATCAACGCAGAGAAAAAATTATTCACCCATCAGCCCACAAGTGCATCGGCCCACCTGGAAAATGCCTGGTATGGTCCTGGATCTTTGACCCAGGGTTTAAGGTTTGTTTAACGTTATTCATTAATGGAACTATGAGATACGTATGTTTAGTTTCTAAGGGACTTCGAGTTTTGCATGCTTATGTTTCAGGTTTTCAGTTCGTTTCTTTTTATATCTGATCTCTTTCTCATGTCCAGTCTGTCTTTGTCTCATCTGTGTTATATCTTCAGCGTCTTCTGTTTGTTTGATCTCCCTGTGTTTTGTCTACTTGTCTCCATGTTTTTTTTATTCCCTTGACTAATGGGTTGGGACATGGGGAAAAAAAAGTCTTCTTTGCCTTATTTGGCAAATAACAAACTGATGTTACATTTTTATATCCATATTTGAGCCAGTTTCCCTGAGAAGTCAGATACTGAACAAGCATAACATTCAATTTCTGTTCAGAAAAGTAAATAAGGGCAATTTGCATCTGAAAACACCAAGCAAATTATTTTTTCTTTAACTCTGTTTATGTGTGAGTGTTTGTGCAAGTATGTCTAAGTAGTGAAAAGCACATCTTCAGTGGGTTCCCAGGTAGATTGTTGGGTATTTCCACTGGACAAAAATGGAATATAATGATTTGACACAAATGACACAGAAACATTCAGGATGATTTACCATCATCATCTCAGTTCAGTAATTCAGACTGACTGCAGTAAAACACAAATTCCTGTTTCATGTGGAAATGCTTTTAAAAAGAAATTTCCATATGAAAAAGAATTGTTGCTATATGTTATCACATAACAACCTGTTAAACTTGCTATAGAAAATACAAAAATAAAAAGATTAAAACCTAATACAACACAATAAAATTCTAAAATGAATATAGGTGTGGTATGAGATGGTAAAGATTTTTTGTGTCAATGTAGCTGAAACATTTATCGGAGAAAGCGTTTAGCTGCATGCGGTGCAGAGGATGTTGAGTATCCATGTATTATCCACAGCCACAATCTTCTGATGGAGGAATCAAAATAGTGTGTTGATTCAAACTGAAACCAAAATGTTTGAGTACACTCAAAAGTAGGTATTGCCCAAAGATTTCCTTCCAATGATGTGAGGTCTAGTAGGAATGTGCTCAGAAAATTTAGTTAAGAGGTATTTTGATCTTTAAAGAAGCCGCAGTGCTTCCAAATGTTTTCTGTGGCTAATTGACTCATATAAAGTCCCAGGTGTGAGAAATGCTACATGTGAAAGATATGTTGAAATGCTGGTGGTATACAAGTCTGGCCTAAATCTACTGTCAGAAAGACTGAAGCAATCCAGGAGTTCAATTAACTGTCTTTAATGAATTCATACAGACAAAATGAACAACATTGTGTCTCTGTTTCTTGCCAGCCTTAATTTGAATTTTTTGCAGATAGAAGTGAATGTATGTATGTGATAATTTGTGTGTGATTTTCTGAGACACAAACAGATAATTCTATAATTAGTAAAGTTATAAATACTGGCATGAATAATGATAATATCACCTTCTGCTGAGGTAGGACACTCTGCACAAGGCACAAGCAATATCTCACAATGTCTACGAGTCGTCTCACACATGAGGTCAAAATTAGCAACAGTTTTGGAGCAGAACAGTCCTTTTACTTATTGTTAATACAGGCTGTAACACTTGGGCACCTTGTGTGGCAGAGTGAAGTACAAGTATCTCTAGCTCTCAAGACTACCATGACCTGGAATGCTGTGAAACTACAGTGACTGAATTGCTGATTCATTATTAGATACTGCTTACAATGTTCTCACTCAACACAGGTAGATATCTCCTGTTCTTTGGAGACACTATTGACATTGTTCTTGACTGAGCAGACCAGATGTCCCGAGATGTGATGTTTCAAAGTGATGATGTTAGTCTCATTGTTTCCAGGAAGGAGCTCAGCATCTGTCAGTGTGCGTCCATCCAGAGTCCAGCTGTACTGAGGACTGTCCCCTCCCTCAGAGGAGCAGGACACCCTCATCTCTCCCTGGGACAGACACTCAGAGACCAGCAGGACAGAGGACACAGGAGCTGAGAGAAACACACAGATGAGTTTAGATTTAAAAACTAGAATTGTGAAAATTCTTTACAGTCTCAAATGAAGAACAGGGAAAGCATAAAATACATGCATCTGATCATTTTTTATATTTATTGTATAGATCAGCAAAACATTGTTAAATTTATATCTATTAATAGCTTTATTGAGAAGAAAAGGAATTACCTTGAATAAGCAACTGTAAAATCTGCTCGCCTGATGATCTACCCTCTGAATCAAAGGTTATAAGGCTATAATTACCACTGTCTGTCCTGCTTAGATCACTGATTCTAAATGTTCCATTACTGGGTAAGATTAGAGATTTGTGTGCTATTGTATTATAAATAGCCTTATTCCCTCTCACATCTAGTATCTTTAATGAATCCTTTAACAAGTAGTATCTAGGTATTTCAGATGTGCTGTTCACTAGCTGGATGTCCACGGTTCCTCCCAAAGCTCCATAACACTGAGCTCCATCCTGTCTGCCATCACAGTAAGTTTCCACACCTGCAAATAAAAAATTAGACAAAAAGCAAAACTGTCAAACTTTTGAGTGTTAAGTTACTACCAGAAAGACTGCAGTAGCATATGCAAATGTTTACAATGAGCAGAAATTTGTAAGCTTCATGATTATTTATGATTATTTTCATATGGTTCCCACAGGTGGGCACAAATTAATGACTGAATTCCATCAGCAGAAATAGTGGTTTTGTGGCTACTGTCGTTTTGTTTTAGTAGTAGTTTGTTGTTTACTCAGGCCTGCTGGCAATCAAAAACAGAATATGTATCTAACTGTTATGCAAAACCTCAATTTTTTTGCTGTTCTTAGGGTCTAAAAAACTGACTTTCGGAAGCTGCTCTCATGTGGCAGTTATTCATTGAAAATGAATGCAGGAAGTGAAAATGGAGGAAATTTTAACCCACAAAGAAAAGGTTTGAGTACTCCTGAAACAGGGGATAGTTGTGCAAAAATGCTGCAAATCTTATCAAATGTATGTAAAGTAGCAGCATCACTTCCCAACAGGGAAAATGTTACCTTGAATAAACAAATGTAGAGTCCAAACATCTGATGTCCTGCCATCTGAATCAAAGGTTTCAAGGGTATATTTACCAATGTCAATCCTGCTCAGGCCATTGATCCTAAATGTCCCATTGCTGGGAAAAATGAGATATCTATGTGCAATGGTATTAGAAATAACCTTATCCCCTCTCACATCTAGTATTTTTAATGAATCCTTTAACAACTGGTATCTAGGTATTTCTGAGGTGCTGTCCATCAGCTGGATGTTCACAGTTCCTCCCAAAGCTCCATAACACTGAGCTCCATCCTGTCTGTCATCACAGTAAGTTTCCACACCTGTAAAGGAAAACAAAAAAGTAAACAATTTATTCTTTTACTTATTATTTAACAAGTTCACCTCTCATAGCTGTATTTTTCAGCTCCATATTAGTTAAATAGTTAAAAAAAATTAAATATAAAGTAAGATAAAAATGTATTTGCTATTGTTTTGCTATTGTTTTGTTCAAATTCATTTTGATAGTCTCTAAAAAAGAACAGAGAAAGCAGAAAATGCTATATATATATATATATATACATATATAGATATAAAGATTACCAAAAAATCTTATATTTCTATAAAGTAGCAGCTTTATTAACCAAAAAAAGATTACCTTGAGTAAACAAATATAGAGTCCGCTCGCCTGATTTTCTTCCATCTGAATCAAAGGTTTCAAGGGTATATTTACCAATGTCATTCCTACTCAGGTCATTGATCCTAAATGTTCCATTACTAGGAAAAATGAGAGACCTATGCTCTATGGCATTAGAAATAACTGTATTATTTCTCCCTGCTAGTATTTTTAATGAATCCTTTAACAACTGGTATCTAGGTATTTCAGAGGTGCTATTGATCAACTGGATGTCCACAGTTCCTCCCAAAGCTACATAACACTGAACTCCATCCTGTCTGCCATCACAATGAGTGATCACACCTGCAAAAAAAAGTGAACAAATAAACAAAGTCAACATCAAACCCAGATGATAAAATCAGTGACTGAATTTAATTTAGTCAAAATGTAAACCCCGAAGGACTCTGAAAATAAGGTTACATGTTATTTAATGAGTTTATATGTCATAGCTATATTTACGCATTTTCACATTAGAATGATCTCAGAATGTGTCGTTAATCTTTAAGGAAATATAAGTAATGGAAGTAAAAATCATTTAAAGTGTTAAAATAAAACTCATAAACTGCAGTTCAACAAATCCTTTGATGAATTCAACTTACTTTTATTGATGGTGCTAGATCACGTGGCAGCAAAACCTCTTTTTTTATTATAAAATTAAGCATTAATGAAGAAGAACAAAAAGTTTAGTAGCTCACCATAAGAGACACCGAGTAACATAAACAACAGTCCAATGACAGCTTCCATGTCTGCTCACTGTACAGCCCCTTATGATCCAGTCAGCAACTTTTCCTTCAATAACAGAAGTGTGTGTGCTACACGCTGCTGTCAGCTGGTACTTCACTTTTCACACACTGAGAGGATGAAAGGAAGTGACATCATATTTGATCCCCGTTTTGCTATCAAGAAAAGAAAAAAAACTGTCAAAAAAAAAGGGTCTTCAAAAGCAACATCTAGTGGTCGAATATAAATTGAATACATGTGTGAGCAGTGAAATGAACCCTTTCATGGTATTCAGGTATGACCATTTTTAATATTTTTAAGTATAATTTCTTTCTGCCTAAAAATGTTTGGGGTAATGTTTATTTTCTGCAACATTGTGTATATTACCGAAAGTAGTCACTCACTCATCCAAATCATTTATGTATTCCAAACAGGTCTTGTCAGATAGCATGTTGGACATTAACTATCCATGCACAGTATTGTACACAATATTCACTAATTGATAGGGGATCACTCAAGGTTTAAACATTGAACTCCTCCACTTGGGGCAGGAACTCATCCCCGACCCGGAGTGGGCACTCCACCCTTTTCCGGCTGAGAACCATGGCCTCAGATTTAGAGGTGCTGATCCTCATTCCCGCTGCTTCACACTCGGCTGCGAACTGTTCCACTGCGAGCTGGAGGCCCTCACCCGATGAAGCCAACAGAACCACATCATCCGC